GAGCAAAACCATACTATAGATATGAAAATGTCCAAACAAGCGCCCTCTATGTAATACAATCAGAGAAAAAAAAAGAGTAAAAAAAGAAAAATATTTCCTTCACGGTTGGCCTAAAAGCTTAACGGAGACTAAAATGTCCAGGTATGTACCAGCTTTAAAGCGATACTAGACCTAAGCCTGTTTTAAATATTGTCCAATATACAGAAAGGTAACGAATACGATTTTTTATTCAAGCAACCAATAGTTACACAGCATCAGAATGGGCTAGGCCTAGATAATAGATAAGAATAATAATACGCCAGATAATAAGTGGCGGCCGCCAGATAATTATTTGGCGGCCGCCACTTAACGGTTCTTAAATTTAAATTCGCTGGTGTCACCAACGGGCTTCCGTATAGATTTGATCGTTTCTTGACAGCTCAGTGCGAGAGGTCCAATGTTGCGTGTATACATCGTCGTCGTCGTCGTCGCGTTCAAATAAATATGCCTTCTATCTTACCGATTTTACGCATGCATCTATGGCCCGATTTTGGTAAAAATACATGTCTGTTTTAGATTTCATGTTCTAAATGTTAATTTCGGAAATGGTATTTCTCGAATTTGTACTTGAATGAAAGGAAGAAATTTGAACAAACGTCACCAACGGGCCCGTATAGATCTGATCGTTTCTTGACAGCTCAGTGCGAGAGTTCCGATGTTGCGTGCATACGTCGTCGTTGTCGTCAAGTTCGGTTCTCAAAAAATATGCCTTCTATTTTACCGATTTTACGTATGCATCTATGGCCCGATTTTGGTAAAAATACATATTTGTTTTAGATTTCATGTTCTAAATGTTAATTTCGGAAATGGTATTTCTCGAATTTGTACTTGAGTAAAAGAAAGAAATTTGGACAAAAAAAAAGAATAAAATGCCGACCCGATTTTTTTGAAAATTTCGGTCGGACGCGGAATGCAACACAACATTTTATTTTTTGGGCCTAATAAGCTCATCAATAAAAACATTAAAACAAATCAATAAAAAAAATGTGTATATATATTCATTCTCATTGGATGTTACTGTCCTAATCTATACACACAACCAATAACATCCAATCAGAATTAGGAATTCGGTTAAGCCTAGTGTAACAATAGCCACTGCGTCCTTTTTATAACAAGTAACGTTTTGTACAAAATTAACTTACTGCGCATATGTTGTTGTTGGAGGCCGCCCGTAGACCAACTGCTCCCGATGGTATGTACAGCTAATTATTGGACAAAAAAAAATAACGTTATTGATTGTTATTAACTCAAGTCTTATAATTATGTGATTTTTTAGCATTGTCTATTGAGTCTAAATACGAAGTAGTTCATTCTAGGAAGCTTGGTTTTCATACAATCATTCCACTGTCGCTACATTTTTTACGCCAATCGTTAAACTTCGTAGCTGTCCCCGAGGCAATCGAGGAAAGCTTCCTAAATTCTCACCCTGAGTAGCCAGTTTTATGGAATTCAGGCTTAATTTGATAGGCCTATAAGGAAGGTGCCTCCGACTTTTGCGTCTCGCGTGCAAAATGCTTAAAGCTATGGTGATTTTAATACACTTACATCCACTGATTTTAGAAAAAGCTGAAGCCACCGGAGCCAAGTTGGGAGGCTCAAGTGACGTACCAGTTTTGACAAATTTCTATTGGCACTTGTTTAAATTATTGTTAATAAAATAATTTCAGATATCTCGGAGGACATCTTCAAAGAACAGAGAAGGAAATGTGTGTCAGAATTGGCCAGGCATGGAGTGCACTTTATAGAATGAAGAAAATCTGGAAGGCAAAAATGAGAACAGATCGGAAGATAAGACTTCAAATCCAGAGTAGAGTCAGTACTTCTTTATGAATGCGAATCATCGACCATAACCACTAAACTTGCTTCAGAATCATAGGCGTAGATCCCGGGGGGGGGGGGGGGTGGGGGGAAATATTCCCCCAAATTTATATCCCCCATATTTGACAAGGGGGGGTGGTCAATTGAATCATTCCCCCGCCAATATTTTGAATATGTATGGGATAAAATGGAGCTTTACACTTCAAAAGACTGTCACAGAAATAATTTGCAATGTCTTATGCCTGTCTCTTATACTCATCT